TATGAGAAAAAGATCCATAATTTTACATTCATTGTTCACGGCTTTGACAAAAGATATGAACCCCTAGACTTTTAGTATAAAACATTGCTTTCAGTATGATGATTTCATGTTTGATTAATTTTTACTTTTACCAGTTATATACCATTTTTTCTATACCCAAGGATTTGAGAACATGTAGCTGGGGAATGGGCCAATGTTGAGTACTTGGGTGATTTCGGGTATCCCAATAAAATGCCTTATGCTGCACGTATATAGGTATTGTGCTTCAATTTGTCTCTATTTTAAAAATCTTATTTACTAACTCATTCTGTCTCTATCTTTCATTTCCAAGCTTACTCTGTCCTTCCTTCACTCCTCCCACTTCTCTCTCCTTCCTTATTTCCCTCTCCCCCCACCCCCTATTTCTTTTTCTCTGATTCTCTCTCTCCTATTTTCCGTCCCTCCCACACTTCCTTCCTTCTCCCTCTCCCAACCTACCTCCATCTCTCTCTCTCTCTCGTAATTCTCCTTCCTTTCTTCTTTCCCTCCCTCCCACTTCCACCTCTCTATCCCTCAATCTTTTACTCCTACTTCTCTCCTTCGTTCCTCCCCTCCTCTTTCTCTCTCTCTCTCTTTCTTTCCCTCCTCCCCCCTTCTCTCTCTCTCCCTCTATTCTTTACGTCCCTCACTCTCTCCCTTTCTGTCTCCAGAACAAACATCGGCTAAATCTGATTGTAAGAAAACTAAATGAAAACCGCTGTGATGCGAGGAGGGCTGGGCTTTGTCGCTGGAGGCGCGGTGGGACTTTTGAGTCTCCGCGCGGCATTCTGCACGCCACATTTTCGTCATTTGACTCGCATAGGTTTATTTCTGCAAATCAATTTTGATAGCAATGATTACAGTCTTTCATCGCCTACAACGGTATGATCTTCAATTTCCTCGTAGTAGCTGCGGTCCTATCGTAAACATTATTATCTTATGAATATTTCTGAGAAAGAAACGACCCACGGTTCCGTAATAACTATCCAACTAGTACTAATATGTCCAAGAGTAAATATTTTTACTCATACAATTAAAATAGGGAACCACTTCAGCATATACTTTTAAAAGTATTTCCACTGATATTCGTCGTTCTGATACATTAGAATATTATCTCAAAGACATTTTACTGGAAGCGGCGCAAAACTGTAACAATTACATTGCCTGTCTGACGTAACTAGTAGAGAAAAAAAAAGGAATTTGCAGGTTTTGATGTTACCCAAATTTGTGGATCGTTACTATTATTTTACTAAACATTTATATTCATGGATGAGTTTCGCCTACTTCTAAAAACATACCAGAACTCCAAATCACTATATATGGAAGTTCTTTATTTTGATGATGAAAATATCGATAAAGTAAAAATGCATTCCATTGCATTTTCGACTACACAAGATGTTCCTACGACGAACGCGAGAAAATGCTATATCTTTGCTAAAAGATAAAGTGTGCATAGGTCTTGGAATACCATGTAGTCGTTGTATCATTTGTAACTATAGAGATAATCTTTGGAATGATTCTACACGCAAGAAAATACATCAATTTGGGCTAAAATAAATGATCATATAGAAATAAAGAAAAATTGAAGATATATATGAAAAAGTATGTCTTAGTAATAGCATCTTACGCGGGTGCATGTCTCTTCATTCAATATATTGGTCGCAATCAGTCAAACAATAAATCTCGGCGTCTCGTCTGGGTCAAAATACAATTTATCTCCTTGAGTAATATCATGGACGTTGATCACCCATCGAGTTAGATATTAAACAGAATCATGGTGTTTCCGTTTAGGGTCATAATCACCTAGCCTCACATTTATTCACATCTCTATCCTACTATCATATACGTGAAATAATAGTTACATTGTTCCTACTCATGCAATGATTCGATCAACGGTGCAGCAAACCATTTTTGCGAAACGATAGCATCCATATATATATATATATATATATATATATATATATATATTATATATATATATATATATATATATATATATATATATATATATATATATATATATATATATATATATATATATATATATATATATATATATATATAGCCATAGGCGCGAACAAAATTATACAAACACGTCCCGTCATTCTACAGCAACAGTGGCGAAACATAACGTATATATCGTTGATATTCTTTTTTTTTTCAAGATAAGTGGATGCGTCTCTGTGAAATGTGTGGTGAACCAAAACTTTACTGGTGCATGTCCAGACCCATATGTTAGCCTTTTACGACTCTACAGTGTGGCATCAGCTGCATAAAAATATAGAGATGAAAACTAATGAGCTTCAAACCATTATGGTTGAAATCGACTTTCAGAATGCTGGCTTCTACTGGATTATCATGCCCAAAAAGCCTTAATTCTAGGTGAACAGATTTAATTTGGTGCACTGATAAATTGGGTGATCAAGATTAAGGACGTGACTAAAATATTTATGTCCGAGTTTTCCGTCGAAAACTACTACAA